TAAAACACAACCTTAATTTCTCTTTTAATATTTTATTTTGGTACTAGTGAACCATAATGAACTGGTTATTTCTATACAATTTGTATCATCCACTGAACGTCCAACAAAATTCCTCACAGCACTCATACCATAATTATAATAACTGAGACAATATTCGTCCCAGTTATGCAATACGGAAATTTGAAACATCATTATATATAATCCAATTCAAATGAATTTGTAGAATTTGGCTCTAGATACACACACACAAAAAAAAAGGAACTGTATGTAAAGTTTACCTAGATTTACAACTCTGTTAATTGATACTGACATTATAAATCACCTAAATATATTCGTTTTAAGTGTATTAGAATTATAAACTAGCCATAATTGGGTGGAACATAAAAAAAAATGCATACTGAATGAGATAACCAAAAAATTGAACAGCTGGACCATGTCTACATTACTGCTGTAAACTCAAATATGTTGCCATAAAGAGGATACAGGGTTAAGCAGCTTCCTGGGGCCACCTCTATGCTCATCATGCCATATGATCCAGTGGCCACATTATGCATACAGTCATAGTGATAAACATTCTGAAGTCCAAGGACTGCAAATTCTTTAATGCTCCACATTTTCTAACAAAGAACTTGTCCAGTTACAGTACTGTACAATGTTGGCTCGAAAATATTATGTAATTTGGATATTCCTTTTAAGGAAATAGAAATAATCAACCTAAGTATAAATAAAATAATCAAATACTTAGTGTTACCAAGTTTCTGGACTTTGTGCATTGTTAGTATTTGAACAGAACAGTGTTTTGGAACTTGGGTCTTCCTGCCATTTGGTGGAAATGTGGGGAGGTGCAAACTCAGCTGGGTCCATTAGGAAGGGCTATAATTTATATTACTGGATCTGTTTCTGTCCTTACATGAAATAGCGGGAGGCACTGTTTTCTTGGGCCTGTTACAAACAGCTGATATCAATCACTGGAAAAGATACAGTAATGGATATTAGCTCTTTATATTGAACCAAACTTAGTAGATACTCCATTGTCTTTTTACCTGGGTACAGAAATGGATGAAGTTTGTGAAATAATGTGGTCTGTTTGTAGTACTATACATGGACAAGTCGAGAAACTCCGTAATCCTAAGTGCAATACACCACCTTCAGAACCCTTTCAAACTGAACAATTAAATACATTTTCTAATATCAAAAAGCCTGTGATGATTTATATTCCCTCATATACAAGACACCCATTTCATTATGGGATATTTATTAGTTTGTGGTCAATCAAGATCAAAGGCAACTCTCTCTTTCAGATTATAATTTAAAACATAACTGCAAAGCTATGGCTCAGTACACTTCCAAACAGCTACAGAAATTGAATGAAGACAGTTCCAAATAGTTTCATTCAATAATTAAACAAAGTAAAATAAATTTAATAATGGATAAAAATTTACTGCTTTGAAACTATTCATAAAAATTAAAACCTAGTCACGTCTTCACAGTTCTTTTAATAATGAGAACTCGCTCAAAAGGAAAATTAAATTGAAATTATTTCATTCTTGCCATCATGAATATGGAGAAATGTGATGAGTGCTGAATTGAGGGAATGCCAATCTTGTTCATATAGTATATTATATTTAAGCATCCTGTTACATTCCACACTTCTATATGTATAATACAAACTCCATCGTAAATGCAACACTTTATTGTAGTTCTTGTCCCCCTTCTTTCACACTACATGTTTTGGCCGCAACCAGCCATCATCAGGTGTATTTTACTTCATGTAGCTGACACACTGAACTCAATATTAACATTTAAACTCCAGATTTCCAATTGTTCATTGCTCTGTCGTCAATCGGCATCCGATATTCCATAACTCCCCTTGTCAGTTTTGTCAATTATGTTTAAAATCTTTATTAATATTCACTCGTCAATTGGTGTAAAATTTAAAATTCTCAATTTAGCTTTAATATTTAAAATAAAAATCACAGAGATACCTGCTCTATGCTTATATGTGCTGCAGCGGCTACCTCTTGCTTTCAGCACAGCTCGCGTGTTATCTGTAATACACAAATATTCGTGTTACGGTCTTATGTTCTTACCTTATTCCTCTATATTTTATACTGTTATGTGTACTTACTTTGTGCAGGCTCTCTGTGTGCGTGCCACTGCTTTTCTTCAGTACGTGTGCTGTCTGGTGTGTTGTGTGCCGGGTTTTTATGTTGTTGAGTGTAGAAGGGGGCTGGGTAGTGGGGGGAGGGGGTGTACCGTTAGTCGGTATAGATCTCGTGTATTGTTTGAAATATTGGATTGTGTGTATCTACGTGTGTGTCACTCATGTGTAGGCCTTTCTTACTTATTTTGTATATATGGTATTTCTCTAGTGTATTCAAATGTCTACCCATCTTTCCCAATGTTACAACTTCCATTATGTCTGTTATTGTTCCGTATGCATGTCCCATGTTTAGTATGTGATTTGAGTATCAGGCATTGCTATTATTATTTCTAATATCGTGTATATGCTCTTTATATCTGGTGTTAAATGTTCGGCCCGTCTGTCCAATGTATTGTAATGGGCAATCTGCACATTTCATCTGGTATATACCACTTTTATTGTAATTATCTAATTGTGGTTTATGTTTAAGTATATTTTCAATTGTGTTCCATGTGTGAAATGCTATTTTTATCCGTGTGTCTTTGAAAAGTTTCGTGATTTTTCACACTTCTTTTGTACTATATGTAAATATGGCACAGTTTGTTTTTTGGTGTTATTCATCATTGTGTGTGTTTGATTTTTGTTTTCGTTTTGTCTGAGTTTGTCTGTTGATTATGTTTGTGTTGTATCCGTTGTTATGTAGTATGTTTTTAATAGTGTTCTTTTCTATCTGTTTCTCTTTTTTCTGTTATTGGGTATGTGTGAAGTCTGTTTATTAGATAATTAATACCAGACAATTTGTGCTTAAATGGGTGGCATGAACTGTTAGGTATTACGATGTCCGTTTGTGTGGGTTTCCTATATATTGCAAATTGCAAGCTATCTTCATTATGATGTACTGTTATATATTGCAATAAATAGGAAACCCATATAAAGAGCATATACACGATATTAGAAATAATAATAGCAATTCCGGGTACTCAAATCACATACTAAACATGGGACATGCATACGGAACAATAACAGACATAATGGAAGTTGTAACATTGGGAAAGAAGGGTAGACATTTGAATACACTAGAGAAATACCATATATACAAAATAAGTAAGAAAGGCCTACACATGAGTGACACACACGTAGATACACACAATCCAATATTTCAAACAATACACGAGATCTATACCGACTAACGGTACACCCCCTCCCCCCACTACCCAGCCCCCTTCTACACTCAACAACATAAAAACCCGGCACACAACACACCAGACAGCACACGTACTGAAGAAAAGCAGTGGCACGCACACAGAGAGCCTGCACAAAGTAAGTACACATAACAGTATAAAATATAGAGGAATAAGGTAAGAACATAAGACCGTAACACGAATATTTGTGTATTACAGATAACACGCGAGCTGTGCTGAAAGCAAGAGGTAGCCGCTGCAGCACATATAAGCATAGAGCAGGTACCTCTGTGATTTTTTATTTTAAATATTAAAGCTAAATTGAGAATTTAAAATTTTAAACCAATTGACGAGTGAATATTAATAAAGGTTTTAAACATAATTGACAAAACCGACAAGGGGAGTTATGTAATATCGGATGCCGATTGACGACAGAGCAATGAACAATTGGAAATCTGGAGTTTCAATGTTAATATTGAGTTCAGTGTGACAACTACGTGAAGTAAAATACACCTGATGATGGCCGGTTGCGGCCAAAACATGCAGTGTGAAAGAAGGGGTACGAGAACTACAATGAAGTGTTGCATTTAAAATGGAGTTTGTATTATACAAATAGAAGTTGTTCATATAGAGCAGGAGACAAGCAGGGAAATGCATTTAGCACACCATCCCTTTGCTGTACAGTACTACATTGTGAGACCTCTGCATTCTGAAACCTTATTCGTACAGGACATTTCAAAACAGCCTCTTTATTTTTCACCATGTACCCATTTAGCATGGCAGGAAAGGTAGAGAAACCTGTACATGACGTAACTACAAGGTACAAGACATTTGTTTCAGGCTGCAGTAACTGGGACACACTGTTTTCATTTCAACTGGCAAGCAATGTAAAAACCTGAAGCAAATAGCATAATTCTCCTGCTATTTAAGCAATGTACTCATTATGTGCCTAGCTTGCATTTTTATCACAAAATACAGTTGAAACAAACTTACATAGCTTTACTGGTTCAAATTTAACCCTATGTGAAAAGATATGATGTACAGAAGCTGAATGTAAAACAAAATTCCATCTTCAAATATTAATCATTACTTGAAAGATACTAAAACCATTGGTGGCCTCCACAGGACACATTTCAATTACAAAAATAAATGTCACGCCCATCATCCCCATCTACAACCATTAAAACCGAAAGACAAGTTACACAAAAATTTGACACAGCATTTAATTACAAGATTACAGTCCAGCATTTCACTTGGTTGTTTTTTTTTCTTTTGCATACATTTTATGATATATTAGCTGTTTTAACTATCACACCAACTAGTTAACAACGTCTTTATACTGACCCTTTTGCTGTGGATTAATTGCATTCAGTTACCATCTTCCTCAAAAGCTGACTACTTTACAATGGCAGTGCCCTCATACATGTATTGTTAAGACTGTTGAAATCAAGCCTGCAGTTACACACAGCTCTTGGCGTTACAACACAACACATCAATTCTGCATCTAGGAATAACTTCTCTTCTCTTTTAGGATGCAAGTTACATAAATCTATGACACTTTTCATTGAACGGCATTACTCTTCGTTCCTCTTAAGAAATGTACAATTAGGGGAAGTGAACTGTATTAGAGTTGAGAAGAGTGTATGGAAAGTAAAACAGTTCTGCTAGTTACAAGATATATCTGGGTTGCATCTTGGATATTCTGAACATCAATCTACTAGCAGTCCCTTCCAATTTACGTCACATTAGTCAACAAAGATAATAAAACTATGCTGCTACTCATCATCAATTCTATTTCTCTATAGGTAAATGTTTTACTTTAATGTTAAGTATTTCATTTTACATATTAGTGTACAAATATTGGTGATTTTGCTGCAGTTCCAGACATAATTCCATATGTCACCAAACCATTCTCTGTTGTTACAACATATTTCGTGGATATTTTAAGTATAATAATGCATGAGACGGCTGGTTTGAATACTTAACTGGGTGATCTACATTATGGATGCCCAGTATGTCCCCTACCTGACCATGTTTTGTTGCCTTCATTGTCATACCTTCTTCAGTTTGGTGTGACCTCCTTCTTCAGCGTATTTATTTCATTATTCCAGTAAGAAACGTAACGTTAGCTTCAAGTTCAAGTGAAGAGCTCAAGTTCCGCCTTTTGGGGCTGGTCCCTCCCTCAGTTGCTTCTGCTGCTCCAGAAGTCTCTCCAGGGGTGACGGACCCGGCCCAGACCACAGGGACTATAATACAAACATGTACTTCCTACAATAACACCTGAGTATTCCTGTAAACTGATACAAATATATAATGCCGAAACATGCATCCTTACATACTGGGGGAAAAAATGAAGCAATGGATATGACATTTCTGGAAAGTACTGAAGGGAAAAAAATCTTCCTATCCAGTGGGTAGCAGGGGCACTTTGCCCGAGGGTAAAGCAGCCGGGTCATGAAGCTGACCACTCACCTGCAGTTAGTGCCAAGGTCAAGAAAATGTGGATCTATACATCCACTCTCCCATACACCTTCATTGCACAGTGCTCAATTCGTTAAGCACAGGGGCAACTTTATCTTTACTGAAGAGAGGGGAAGAAAGATGGGATAGAATTAGGAATTGAATTCTTGGAGAATGTGGAATTCAAAATGATTACAATATGTCTCATGAAACAAACTGAAAAAACAACACTATCAAGAAGGGCACTAGAACTCAAATTTAAAGAAGAGAGACCCGCAATATGACCCAGAACAAGATGGTTTAGTCAGCTATGTGAAGGCATCAAGAAGAGAGGACACAGCTGGCAAGAAATTGAAAAGGAGAGACTGTGGGAAAACGTAAAGGTAAAGCTATCCCTGTGAAAAGGCGGCCTGGGTTTGATCCCGGGGTAACTATGACGTTTTTATGTCACATGTTACAGGTGGTAATGACACCATCCCCGGTGACGATGGCCGAACCACGGCTGTGTCTTGGTGGGGATGCATCATGGACCAGGCATGCATTGGGACACAGCTTTGGGGCACCTCCTCGTGGTCCCGCCGGGCAATGACAGTCTTTGGGGTCTGGATCAGTATGACCTTCTGGGGCTGGCAGCCAAGTTCCCATAAAGGGCAATGGCTTTGACCAGAGCCTCCCACGCAACGGCATAATGACTCTTGCATTTCACTATGGTGTACCCGGGACGAATCCGGGAGAGCACCCCTATGGGGGTAGCTTCAGCTATTTGAGTTGTCAACCTGGAGTACTGATAAGGTGCCGCAAGCCTTAGGGCTCAACACTATAAAACGGCTTGACCAACCCATGTGGAAGGGTGGGAATGGGGGAGCTCATAAGCTACCACCAGGGGCGACTCTCTTACGTAAGGTGCCCTGGTTGCAACCTCATGACTAACTGGTGTTGCACTCCCATTAATTATCTGGGATACCCCTCTCCCACTGAACAGGCACTCTGGGTCCTGGAGGCTTGTGAGGGTTCCATTCAACAGTACCAGACCACCTAAGCCAAGGTGTGAGGTACTGTGCTGAGGGCTGCATGGCACTGGGATGGTAATTAGCCAGTGTCTTGAACGATCCCCTTGGGGCACCAGCCAGCACCCAGTTGTATTTATGCCTTCCACCCGTATGGTGCACTGCGGGTGGCGACCTTCTAAATCCCCAAAACTCGTGGGGCCAAGAAGAAAGGAACCAAAAACAAAACCAGTTGCAAGGACCTTAACACACTGCGGACCGGAGGGGCCATATGGCCCTCTACGTTTCCAAGCGTTGCGGACCGGGCGGGCCATATGGCCCTCTACAGTCACGTTATGTTGCAAAACGTTATATATCACTGTGTGGCTCCGTTGAGTCGTAACTACTGCGTAGATGACCTCTTGAATGATTGCTGCCTTATCTAGTAACTCGACCAGAGTCATTTCCTGTCACAACCTAAACAAAATTGGCTTTGTTCTAATCCAAGCTTGCACGTATCAACCACACAGCTACCAGTTCAACATGGCTCAGAGACGAAAGCAGTTGTGAACTCTCGGAGGACAGGAAATATTAGATATGTTCTCCGATGAGCTATCAGATTTGCCAACTCCTTCGTCTTCTGATAGCGAGGCCATTATCAGTGACAGTGACAGTGACGGGGGCCACAGGGCTGCCAAAAATGTGTCAAGTGAAAGTGAGAGTGTCGGGACAGCAATACCTACTTTCAAGGAAAGTACGTATTTGTGGTACAATTAGGGTGAACAGAGGCCTCCCTCCAGATCTGAAAGAGGAATGTAAACGCCTGAAACGTGGCGACACCGCATTCAGGAGGAAGGAGGACATTCTTCTTCAGTCCTGGAGGGATACNTACTTTGAAATACAAAGCATTTCTGTTGAAACTGGCAAAAGCTTGGGCTACTGACATCATGGTGGCGGCAGTACCTGCATCAGACACAGACGTAGTGCAGCCAGGGCCATCTGTTCGCACCCGCCAGAGGCCTCAAGTAGACCCCCTGGCCGACTCTCGGGTGATATGCGGAAACATATTCTCGTGAAAATTGTGAAGAGTGAATATTGCAAGAAGAAACACCCTTCTAGGCAGTGCCGTGTGTGTGCAGAGCACAAGAAGAAGAGTAGAACTGTCCACATGTGCAACTTCTGCATAATGCCTCTTCACAAGGGGGAATGTTTCCAGAGATATCACACGCACAAGCACTTCTAGGAGCTCTGGTAAGTGTTCTAAAAAAATTTCAGTTCATAAAATTAATTAGGAGATTTTATATTAATTTTTAAAGTGAACAGTGCACAAGTTAGGGTAGTAGGTTTAAAAATGCCGGTCCCCAGGGTGATTTAAATGTTTAAACCACCGGTCCGCAATGTGTTAAACTAAAGAGGGACCCCCTTCCAAGGGGATCCATATGACAGCAGGGGGCTGGAAACTCTGGTGAATCACTAAGGGACCCAGGTGCAGCCAGCGAACCTGCTGTTGAATTTTCATCCAAAAGCAGTGACGCAACAGTGGTTCACAACATACCTGAGGCAAAACCAAAAACTCTATTGGGAGTCAGTAGTACTGACATACCACTACAGGGGGCTAGTACCTCTAGCATACCTGTAGCAGGAGAAAGACTGGGACACCTAGTCTCTGGAGTAGGTGGACCGCATCTAGCGAAGAAAGCCCTGTCTGGATGTGCTAGGCGGAAGTTAAGAAAGGCAAGAGCTGGGGCAAGCAAAGCAGGAACTGGGGGCAGTCAGCAACCAGGAAATGCAGGCTCGTCCAAGCAGGGAGAAATCCCCTCTGGCACCTTTAAGAGGCCAAGGTTGGAGGGCAGTACCCCTACAGAAACAGCAAGAACTCTGAAGAGGGCCAGACACTCTAAGGGACCAGGGACTTACAAGGAGGCTCTGACCAATATAAACGTAGCTATCTTCAAGGAAACTTATTCTGAGGACAAGATTACCGAAGATGACCAGAATTTCATTCTGGAAGCACTGGGAGAGGTGTTATGTAGGACTCCAAAGGGAGAACTACCACACCTGAAATCCTACAGACTAGTAGGTTTACTTATTTATGCATGTGCCGACCATCAATCTGGTCAATGGCTCACCAAAGCCATTGACAACCACAGGCTGGAATCAGGGGCCATGCTGAAGGATACTGATGCCAGGAATTTGCCCAAGCCTGTTAAAGTGGCTCTCTGGACTAGGAACAAAATTGCCCAGAATCAGGAAGAGCTGCTGAAATGGATTGCAGACCTCAATCCAGGACTTCATACGGAGAACTGGAGGGTACTCGATAAGCAATATGAGTCGAAAGGCCAGAGGCTTATCCTATTCATAGACTGGGACTCTTATACCATTATACAGAGGACAGGTTACAAAATATTTACAGGACTTTCACAGGGGACTGTTAAGGTGCTGGATGATCCTGAAGTTCAGCGCCTGGCAGAACCTGTTACAGATACAGTATCTTCTAACTCGGTCTCGGAGGGGGGAAAAGGATGAGATACCCAACCCCCCGGATGACTGAAGCAAAGTGGATCAGGGGACTCCTTCACATGGAACCTAGTCCAAGGACAGGGAGGGACATAAGATGGAAACTGACCCTTCCTCAATTGGAAGAGATCACTAACACCATGACATTTCTTCAAATTAACCTACACCACAGGAAAGGTGCCATGGCAGCTCTGTGCCAACAACTCGCTGAGGGTAAGGCAGATATACCACTTATTCTGGAACCTTGGTTATACTAGGGTCAAATAAGGGGCTTAACTAACACAGGGGAACAGTTTACTCTGCCGTACCCAACAATAATGCAAGAACATGTGTTTATATCAGGAATCATGTTAATGCCTTGCCTTTCCTGGAGCTCTGTTCTAGGGATACAACAGTGGTAAGGATAACATACACATATCGAGGAGGCAGCAGGGAGCTGATTATTGCTTCCGTCTACCTTCCATATGACACAGATGAACCACCACCAACTAAGGAAATGATGGACATCATAGACTACTGCTGTAGGAGGAAAAAGCAACTCATCATTGGGTGTGATGCCAACGCGCACCACATCTTGTGGGGGAGCACCAACACTAACCCAAGGGGAGAGAGCCTTATGGAATTTCTGGTGAGTTCGAACCTGAATATGCTAAACCATGGTAATGAACCTACCTTTGTAGTTTGCAACAGGAAGGAGGTTACTGATCTGGCACTAGGAACAAATAACATAGGAAACCTGGTAAGTATGTGGCATGTATCTGATGAGCCGTCCCTATCGGATCACAGATATATATGCTTTCAAATAAGTAACATTACAGTAGATCAAGCTACTTATAGGAATCCTACGAGAACCAATTGGGAGTCTTATAAAGATGACCTAAAGGTAAATCTGGAGACCAGCTTGCGAAGTATACGCACAATATAGGATGTTGATTGGTCCGTTGACCAGTTGCAACCTGCTATTATCTTGTCCTTTAATAGGAATTGTCCGGCTAGGACCACTCACTAACCAAGGAGAGTGCCTATGTGGAATAAACAGCTGAGTGGGCTTAGAGCCAAAATGACAAGGCTGTTTAATACAGCTAAAAGAACAGGGCAGTGGGACACCTACAAGGAAGCCCTTACTGTTACAACAAAGAATTAAGGAAAGCAAAGCGATCCTCATGGAGGACGCACTGCCAGGAGATCAATGATGTACCAGGCGGTGCCAGACTCATGAGAATCATGACAAAACAGGCAACCAACAAGGTCAGCACAATTAAGATGCTTAACAGGCAGTATAC